CATGAGCCCTAAAACAATGAGAACACACGTGCAACAACCTGCAGGCACTATATCCGCACATACCTACATTGAAATTATTGCACACTTGCGAATTTCCCAGGTAAACAATAGGATGACTGAGTTTGTCCTTGCCAGATTTGTCTGTCCTTGTATGTGCCTCTGGGAAAGTCATAGGTGTGGACTCGGGTGAGATGGGACAATAGAATAAAAATGGAGAGTACAAGCGCTTATTTGTGTAGTCTTATATCTTAAATATACCAAATTTCTATGAGCTGCTATACCACCGTGCTTATCTTTCTATTGGAAAAGTGAAGAGAAGAAATATCAGGTGTAGCGCTCTAGTAATCGTGGATATATTAGAGTGGAAAGAAACTTGGTGTACCTTAAGGGGTCGTATACCCTTATATGTAATCCCAATATTTCCGAATCAACCTTAAACAAGTATAAATATACAAAACATAGTGTGGACTGTATATAAATATATAAAAGTAGTAAATATGTAAATTACTAACTCACACTTTTCTGAGCTAGAAGACTAGCTCAGGTATATGCGCCTTAGGGTCCGTTGAGGCGACCCTAACCCTCATTGAATCCAAATTCTCTCCAGGGGTTAATGTCCTAGAGCAGGGGTAGGCAACCTTTTAGCAGCACTGTGCCGATATAGGATTGTGATGTCCCGTAGCGTGCCGGTCCTATTTTTTTAAATTGAGGTGTGTATGCTGCCGTATTCTGCTTGTGTTATTTTTACTGTAATTGCTTTGTATCGTTGTATTTGTGCGTTTGGGAGCTATTATATTCTATATGTTCAGGAGTAGTTTGTGGTATTGTGTATGATACATATGAATGTGGGCTGTGTATGAGGGCTGCTTGTGGAATTGTGTGTGAATGGATGTCACATTGTGTTTGGGGCATTGCATATGAGAGGCTGCATGTGGGGTTCTGTGCATGTATGTGGATTGCGAGCGGGTTACGTTTGTGCGGATTGTGTGTATGTTTGTGGGCTGTTCATATTATTTGTATGAGGGGAGGGTTATTCTGCATTTCTCTGTATATCTAGCAGTGTGGGTGGCTTTCCTGGGTTCCAGTGGGGACCAGGCTGGCCAGGTACAGGTCAAGGACAGGAGCTGTAACAGCAGCTGCGGGCTGCTCTACTACAGTGTGGATTCCCATTCACAAGTGCTGGAATGAAGTGCTCTGAGATCACTTACTCTACGTGCTGCAATGCATAAATTGAGAATTGTCCTTCACTACCAGGATTGTCCTTCACCACCTTTTCGTATTTGCAGATATCTGAAGTTTTACTGGGACTCCTGACAGGAATAATAAAAAGAGTACTGGATACCAGAAGCCATAGCCAGAATGATCCGCAGCTAGGAACAGGATGTGACACAGAAGACATGGCTCTCCAAATCAACACAGACTGTATAAACTTCACACTGCACTTCAAGCATCTTGCAGTGTGTGCCTCTCCATTCTTCCTCCAGACTCTGGGTCCTTGGTTTCCAAATGAGGTGCAAAAGTTGCTCTCATCAGAAAAGAGGACTTTGGACCACTGAGCAACAGACAAGGTCTGTTTTTCTTTAGCCCAGGTAAGACACTTCTGACGTTGTTTGTTGTTCAGGAGCGGCTTGACAAGAGGAATACGACATCTGAAGCCCATGTCCAGGATCCGTCTGTGTGTGGTGGCTCTTGATGCACTGACTCCAGTCCACTCCTTGAGAAAGTCCCCAACACTTTTGAATGGCCTTTTCCTGACAATCCTCTCCAGACTGTGTTCATCCCTGCTGCTTGTGCACCTTTTTCTTCCACACTTTTC